GGCGAAAATTGCTAGTGCGTCTTGCTGCTGCAATCCGCCCTCTGGACGAGTTCGCTTTGCAGGCGCGCCGGGTATTTCGCCCGCATTTGCAGCGGTGCTCGTCGTGCTCTTGGAGTGGCCTGACAAAGGCCTGCCGGCCAGGCTTGTCCACGGTTTCGAGATAGCTGCGGAGGTCCCTGCTTCTGGCGCCCCCCGCCCGTGCTCCTCGAAATCTACTGGGCGCAATGCGCCCCGACAGCCGTCCGAGACGCTGCGGGGGCCATCTGCCCGAGAGTTCGTGGACAGCATGGAACGAAGCGCGCGCCCGGGCCCCCTGACGAAGGCTATCTACGACTCGACAGTGGAAGAAATCAAGGCTGGGCTCGCCGACCCATTTGTGACGCGGCGTCAGCTCGACCTTCGTTTTGGGCCTGGTGGCCATCGCCCGCTTCCGCGCCACGCTATATGGCAAGGCGCCGAGTGGCGTTTAATCGATGATGGGAAGAGGGCTCGCACCAACGCCTTATCCTTCTTGTCGGAGACGCTGGTCACTATTCCGCCAGAGCTGCCGCTGCTCATTGCCCGCGCGTTGGCTTTCCAACTTTCTCCGCAAGACGGCCGCTTGCTTCCCGATGGGTTCCAACTCGTCGCGTCAGCGGAGGATTGGTGGAAGGGGTGCCGACAATTATTCCCCACTCGCAGGGGCATGGGGTTTGTCGTGGGGGCCCTTGTCCACCCCGCCACGCACGAGTGCATGCGCAGCGTGTTGCGCGGGCTGCTTTTTGGCCTGGGGTCGGCGGTGAACCAGTTCAACCGGGCCCCGCCCCTCCTCAGCCGCCGCTCGACGCTTGCTTCGCGCGATGGGTGGGCATTACGTCGACGATAACGTTATCGTAGATTTTGCGCTGTCCAAGGGGGGCGCCCAACAGGCCTTCCAGGAGCTCGCGCGCCTGCTTGGCGTTGTGCTCTCGGACGGAAAGCGCGCCGCCGACGTCGATGCTGCCTTTCTTGGGGCACTTGAACGATCTTAGCCGCATCCAGACCGATTCAGCGGTCAGTTTTGAGCCTAAGTTAGGGACGCGCGACCGCTTCTTGGAGGAGGTGAACCAAGTTTTGCTGGCTGGGCGTCTCCAGTCCGGCGAAGCTGCACACCTACGTAGTATTTGCACATGGCTTGACACCTCGCTTGCTGGCCGGCCGTGTCGGGGGGGTTTTGTCCGCCCTCATTGCACGCCAGTATTACGAGGACACCGTTGAGATCACCCCGAACCTTCGGTGTCGCCTCCAGCACTTATCCCCCGCAGCACGACACGCTGCGCCGAGGCCGTCAGCCATCGCGCACGACCCGCTTCCACCCGTGGTGGTCTACACAGACGCTTCCGCGGACAGTGGTCGGCCGCTGCGTCTTGGCGCTCTGGTGTTTGTTCCTGGACGTACGCCTGCTTGCCTGGCTTATGACGTGTCCGACAACATGTCTGCCCACCTCGGCACACAGGGCGGCCATGTAATCAACCAGGCAGAGCTGCTAGCCGCCCCTCTCCTGGCGTGGCCCATGCAATCCCTGCTGCAGAACAGGGACGCGTCATGGTTCATTGACAACCATGCAGCCGAGGCCGCTTTAGTCAAGGCGGGGTCGCCTACAGAGTCGATGTGCCGCCTGGCCCTCGTGGCCACAGCGGCTCTGACGGCTCTTGGGGCCAGGCCGCGGTTCGAATGGATTCCGTCGTCCGACAACCCCGCAGACGTCCTGAGCCGCGCCGGATACGACGACTCCGTCGTATTGTCTCACATTCGCGCCGCTCGGTGGGAGGCGTTTTCACCACGCGAGCCTCTTGTAGCCGCCTTAGACTTCGACAGCCCGTTCGCTTCGCCTCCCTGACTGGTCGCGGGAAAAAACACGGGCGCCAGGGCGTGCCAGGAACGCCCGCCTTTCAGCTGATTTATTTCTCACTTGTTAATTTCCACAGCGTTGGGGGGGGGTTGGGAACTTATCATTCTCAGCGTTGGGTGTTGTGTGGCCGATCAGAGAACCCATTGCCATATGTGGGATTCTTGATACGGAGTACCAAGCTCCCCCCCGCCCCCACAAGTGAAAGATTGCAGCTAGGGCGCCGATTCCTCTCACACCCCTCTTCTCGCTGATAATCGCTCCGATCAGTTTTGGGAAGGCAGGGTAGGTGCTGATGGGGATAATCATCAGAGGGGAGTGCGTACCTCGTCGCAGCCCTCTCGGCCCGAGGGGTGCGCAATCGAGGGTTTCGTTTCCCCGCCCCCGTCCCATTGATACACCACCTTGTCGGCTGTATCGCTGATGTTCGTGCCTTTCTACGCCGGCATGCCAAGCAACCGGTTGGGCCGTGACTTCCTTGGGCTCCGTCCGGTCTGGTCTGCCCAGCTACAGCCGGCGACAGTCCTGGGTCCAGGTCTCGCACGGGAAGTCCCTGTCTCCGTGCTCCTTGCGGGGGGGGTGTTGTTTGGCCGATCAGAGAACCCATTGCCATATGTGGGATTCTTGATACGGAGTACCAAGCTACCCCCCCCCGCCCCCACAAGTCAAAGATTGCAGCTAGGGCGTCGATTCCTCTCACACACCCCTTTTCGCTGATAATCCTCCTCCTCCGCCTCTTCCTCCTCCTCCTCCGCCTCTTCCTCCTCCTCCTCCTCCTCCTCTTCCTCTTCCTCCTCCTCCTCCTCCTCCTCCTCCTGGAGCTGGCCCGGGCCAGGAGGGAGAGGGGGCCACGGCCCGAGAGGAAGCAGGAGCCACGGCCTGATGGGAGCGCCGGCCTGGGCCAGCGGGGGAGAGCCACGGCCCGCGGCCTGATGAAGATCAGGAGGGGAAAAAACAGACAGACACAATTAATCATCGGTTTTCCAGAAAATATTAGAAAATTTGGGAAGTGGGGGGGAAGACAAAAACCCAGAAAATATAGGAAAATATTTTGAATATTTTTATTTGTGTATTTATTTGTGTGCCCCAGGGCCCCTTCAGAAGAGGCAGGCCCAGGATCCTGCGCCAGGGGGCGAGAGAGCCGCGGCCAGAGGACAGGCCAGGGGCGAGGGGCGGGGGCCGCGAGCGGACGAAGGAGCGACGGACGAACGGAAAGAAAGGGTCGGGGGCCATTGGGGGGCGGCCTGGGCCAGCGGGGAGGGGGGTCGCGTGGCCCTGGGCCACGGGGAGGGGGCCAGGCTCTGCCTGGAACCAGGGGGGGAGATCGCCAGGAGGGGGAGGGCCACTGCCTGAGAGGGGGGGGGCAGTGGACCACGGCCTGCCGGGGGGGGGGGGGGAGCAGGCCAAATGCCTTGGGCCATGGGGGATACGGGCCCAGCCTGAAAGGAGGCAGGCCAGTGGCGAGGGGGGGGAGGGAGACCACGAACGAACCATCGACGGAGGAATGATCGAGCGAGAGTCAAGATGCCCGAACTCCAGAAGACAGCCGTGCAAACCGCTTCACAACTCATACTTATCGTCGGCAATCCGGGCGTGGAGGGGGGGAGATACGTTGGGCGTCACGTGATGGGGGATCATGGGAAGGCGAGGGTGGCCCGAAAAGGTACCCAAACGGTACCTAAACGAGCCCCCTGGGGCTCCGGAGGGGCCCGAAATGGGGCAGGAAAGGGGACCGTTTCTGACCCCCCCATCGATGACCCCCCCATTAAGCCATGCCCAAACGCGAGAGCCACTGGAGCTCTGACGATGCATCGGTGGTGCCGCGTCGCTGCGTGCCCCTCTCGGCCCGTCTCTGCGCGGGAGCCGCGGCCGGGCGGCGGCCCCCCGCAGCCTTTTGGGCGAGGCCGCGGGGCGGGTGCGGCTGTCCGGGCAGCGGCGCCCCCCGCGGGGGCGGCCGCGGTCCAGGCTTCCACCCGCCTGGCATCGCTCGGACGTGTGCATTTTTTTCTCGGCGAGGGCCATCGAGGAGCATCCCTGATCATTTGGCGAAGGAGCCACGCACGAAGCCGACAACAATCACAAAAGATGGACGTCCGAGCGATGGCGAGCCCGCGCCCCGACCCACCCAAGTTGCTTCGACGAAGAAAATCGGCGCCTGCAGTGGGCTCGGTGCGCAGCGTGCAGGAGATCGACACCTGCGGCGGGCTTCTTCAGATTTTATTCCGAGCCTCGCAGACTGCCAGCGATCCTCCCGCGCCACCGCACTCTTATCCCCGATTGCGGGGGCTATGGCTATGGTGCATGCGTGTACATGTACAGATATTTTAGAAAAGAGAGGTAAAGAGGGAAACAGAGAGAGTGGGAAGAGGGCAAGCGGGCAAGCTAGGTGCGCTCGCGCCCCATCTGACATCCTATCCCTCCCTCCCATCCCTTCCCATTGCGCTGATTATTTTCTCTATCCTCGGACGCGTGTCATAGCCGACGTGAAACTCCAACTAAAAGACCACATCGTGTTATGCGCAATCAGAAATGGGGAGCTGCGTGCACAGGCGGAGGAGGAGGCGGTGGGTGAGCATGAGGATGAGCGGGAGCAAAAAGACGAGGACGAACAACAGCAGCAGCAGCAGCAGGAATTGGAGTGGAAGGGGCGGGAGGAACAGGAGGACAAGGGGAAGGCGGAGGAGGCGAAATGAGGGGGAGCGGCAACGATGAAGACATATTCGGATTCAGAAAAGTGGATCGCTTGGGCGAGAGCGCTATTCCGAACGACTGAAGCAAAGTGCCGATCCGAAGATAATGCCCACGCTGCAGCGGGAGCACCGTTCTGGAGCACCGAGAACAATCGGATGAAAACACATTATCAGCACAACGCATTGTGACATCCTGAGTACAAAAAACGCCGAGAGGGCCGAATATCGTCCAGGCGGAGTCAGGGGGGAGAGGAGAGTAGTATTCAGAATGTGTATTTGCAGAGGGGGAGGGAGAGAGGGGGGGGGCAAACTGGGACAGAGATATGGGACAGGCATAAATGTGGGTTTCGGGATAATGAGCAGGCAAGTTTGACTTAGCAAGTTTGGGTCAAAATGATGGAAGTTGCTGGTTTTGTCATGCCACCTCCACTTGGAGGGGGAAGCGGATTGTTGGTGGTGGCCGTCCAGAATCGGCAAAAGATCCGTGAATCTTACGGGTTCTTGGCGGACGCCGCTTGATCGTTCGGCCTCGGGCGCGAGGAAACGTATTGGGAATGAAAGCGCGATTTTGATGTAGCGGTCACGGAGTGGATGCCCTCTTGGTGTCTCTATATACGATTTCTCTTCTCATGTGGGCACACACATGACATGGTTGCAACATGTGTCTCATAGCCGACAAGTTGTAATGCCACAGGCGCAACTTGCGCGACACGTTTTAACGTGATGCCCGCTGTCTCCTCTAGGGGTGAAAAATCAAAGGCCATGGAGGCAGCCCCCTCACGATAACATGATGACTCGTAGGACCTAGGCGTCTTTGACCCAGCATCTGAAGCTCACGTCAAGGTTCGCGAATTATGACGCTCATCTTGGAGGAGGGGGTCGGAAGGGGGCACGCTGGGTCATATCACGCCCCCGCCTTCTCTCTGATCCTTGGGTGCCTTCGCTGTTGGCCCTCTACATCGAAGCTTCGCCTTGTCTTGTGGGGATGTGCGCAACGCAAGGCAGGTTTTCGCTGAGTCCGTGCGGCGGCGACCCCGCCGCGGGCGTTCAAGTCTGAGCGCCGCCCGTGGCCCAGAATCGGCCAAGAGGCAACGATCAGGCGATCGGAGAGCCGCCGATCGTTCAAGCTCGAAGGATCCACGCGGTGTCAGAAAGTGTCGCCAGGGTCGTCACGACACGAACTTGCCGTGTGCGAGCCAGGTTGGACCACGGCGACAACACCACCAGGGTGGAGGACTGCCTCGTCTGGGTGTGCTGCCCCGCCTGCGCGACCATGCAGGAGGCCATGGAGGCCAGCACCGCCCTCGCCTCCTCATTTTGTCTTAATTTCCGATGGGGTTGCTCTGATTCGCCTGCTGCAGCTTGCTCGTCGATAGCATGGTCATCACACGTATCTGCGAGGCAACTGTATGAGATATAGCCGCGCTCGAGCCGCGTGCAAGGAAGAACAACGGAGGGATGGAGGTGGGTTGAGGTGAGGCAGCCAGGCAGGAGAGAGGAGAGGCAAAGCGAACGCCCTCCCGACGGGGCGCTTCGCATCCTCTGGTGTGGCCGAGGGCCGGGCAAGGCGGGCGCGGGCGAGGAGGCAGGGGAGGGGCGGGCGCGCAGGCGGCGGAAGGAGGACCCAGACATCCGCCCAGGATGTCCCGACCCTGTCCCCAGGGCCAGTTTTTTATGCCGAGTCGTTTCTGTGGCGGTGCCGGGGCCCAGCGAGTGCCTTCAGGGTCAGAAAAGCCCGCCACAGCTTATCCGTCGTGGTAGTTTCAAGACGCGAGCATGTCTGGAGAGTCGCCGGCCAGGTTCGGCGAAGCGCCGACGGGGGCATGGGGATGGGAGGGCTTCTCAGAGGGCAGGGCGCTTCTCAGAAGCCCTCGGAGGCTTCTAGGACGCCCTCTCAGGGCTTCTGAGAAGCATCCGGCCTTCGACTTGGCATCCCTTGATCATTTGGCGAAAAAACCACACACGAAACCGAGAAAAACCACAAAAAATGGACGTCCGAGCGATGGCCAGCCCCTGCCCCCCTCGGCGCGCCGCCCGCCAGGTGGAGTTCGTCGAGCCGCCCAGGCTGAAGGGCTTCCGCAGGCTCCGGGGCGGCGCCTGACGGCTCGCCGCGGCTGCGCCCGGCGGGGAGCCCCGAGGGGGCCTTGGGCGTCGCGTAATGGAGGGACCGTAAATGGGGGGGTGGCGAGGGTGGTCCGGAAAGGTACCCGAACGGTACCTAAACGAGCCCCTTGGGGCTCCGGAGCAGCCCGAAAGGGGCACGAAAGGGGACCGTTTTTGACCCCCCCGCTTATGACCTCCCCGTGAAGTCACGCCCAAGGCACGGTGCCGGCGTGCGGCGCAGCTCCTCGACCGCGCCTGCGCAGAAGAGGGTCGGGAGGGAGAGGTGGGGCACAGGCACGTCACCGTCGATGCCCCAGAGGATGCGGGAAGGACGGAGGATCCGGCGGCGCGCACGCGGGGGGGGGCGCGAGGAGGAGCGGCCTTCTGATATCCCAGAAGGTATTGATAATGTTCACGTGCAATTGCAGCGGATGCGGATTGGTCGGGCGTAGCTGTCCGCAATAAGTGGTTCAGTCGGGGAATGCTGCAAAAATACAACAGGAGCCAACCACATTGCAAGGATGGGAGCTGAGGGAGAATGTTCAGAAGTTTCGCCGTTTATGAGTTTCCAATTGCAGTAATGGAAGCGCTTGTGTCGAATGGTGCGCCTTTAATGCGGGGACCCCGTTCTTCTTTTGGCTTGTCATGTACTTGAGCATTCGGCGCGCGGTCGCGAAGCCCAAGAGAACATGCATTGTGGTTGTTGTTCCACGCCGTAACCTTCGTAATGTTCACATCCACATGGCATATTTCCACGGAAATCGTTCGTACGTGGTCTATTGGTGTAACGTGAGACCGCCCGGGACCTCCAGTGACAGAGGCTCCACGTATGTCCAGAAGGGCAACAGTTTTGTGTTGGTGACAGACAGCACTCCCAAGGAGCTGCAGGACGCCGTGCGTTCCGACCACTCCCAACCGACCTCTCCTACCCCTACCCTCTGCAGGAGGCCCGTCGCATTTGGATACCTACATGTACGACACCCGACTCCAGCTTCAACCAGTCTGGTGCTCCGAATATCAACCTCAGTGCGGGGCAAACTAATCCGACTGTTCTTTCTCCAATCCCAACCCTCAATGTTTCACCCTCGACCCCTGAACTGTCAAACAGCAGAGGGGAACATCGCACTGATAGTTTTGGCAAGTCACCCAAAGTATCCAGGCAACCCTCACAGGAAACCGACACGTCCCTGCTACAGGCGATCGGCGTGCAGTCCGACGTCGAGCAGCCCGGAACTTCGGCGACTCTGCGCTGCTTACCAGATCAACGACAACAGCCGCATCGACACACGGTTCAACACAGCACTGGAGGAGGTAGAGGACGCTACTCCACCACAGAGGGAGACGTACCGGCATGCTTCCAAGCACCATGCCAACAGCATACGAAAACGGACACACAGCAACCGACAGCGGCAGTTGCACCACAAGCACTCCATGACCAAGCAGACGTCCATCTACAATCCAGCGTCAGAGACGACACCGTGACGATCATTCACAAAAACGCCCGAAGCATCACCAACGATGACGCGATTGACCTGCGCATCCACGAACTCACAGATATATCCTGGGACGCGGTGGCACTCAACGAAACATGGCGGACGACAAAACGGGAATTCTGGGTTACGGATCGTGGTAACCACATATTTGCAGCTGCTGGGCACGACTCTCCAACTCGTGGTGTTGCGTTTCTGATACACGAGCGGCACACGAGACGCATCCGGAGATTCATAGCCATCAACGAACGGATCGCCTACATTGACATCGACCTACCTAAATTCCCACTCCGGCTCATCACAGCATATTACCCTCATGGAGGTTACAGCGACCACCACATACAGGCCATGTATGACACACTTTCCGAGATCCATGCCGATGCTCAGCGACACAAGCGAACGACAGTGCTGACGGGCGATTTCAATGCACAGGTTGGCAGGCGACTTGACGACAACGTCGACATGAGCGATGTGGAAAAACGCGTTCTCGGAAACCACGGGCTGCACGGCAGCAACCAACGCGGCATGTGGCTAAGATCATGGGCCTGCGTGCGTAAGTTCTGCATAGCGAACACCATGTTCTACAAGCACCACGAAAACGTGTTCACATACACACCTGCAGGCGGCAACCGAGCAGAAGCGCAAATCGACTACATCCTGGTGGATCAACGGGCCCGGCATTTGGTTTCAGACTCATTTGCTACGACGTGCCCTGACCTCAACTCTGATCATCAAGCCGTACACCTCCGACTAGCATTGTAAAAGACAGGACACCGACCACGGCGACAGAGACGACGACGACGACGCAAGCATCCGCATCAGCAGCCACCACGACCCAATGACTCCGACTTTCAACGCCACTTGGAAAAGCACCTCGCCAGCAACAGCCCACCAAGTGACCTGCAAGAAGCCTGCACGCTCACCGAACGAGCACTCAGAGCAGCGCACGAAGACCACCAACGACAGCAAGAGCACGAACCACAGCAACAGCCACTTACAACGCGTGGAGACGATGAGGCCTCACGACTACTACAAACACTTCTGACACAGCGCAGAACACACACCATACACCGACACGATCACTAGAACAGCTCTCAGCAAGCGTATCCTACGGCAGCACCGGGCCATCAAGAGGACTCAAAGACAAGCGGCACTCAACGACATCATAATGAAGTTCCGTGGTCTCAACAAGATATCTGGGATCATCTAGTAAGAAGAAGGACCTCATCCACTCCATGACGACCGTGGACGGCAAAAATGAAACAGACCGGAAAGGGATAGCAGACGTCTTCGCTGATTTCTACGAGGACTTGTACCGGCGCTCCACCAATGCCGACAGGACCACAAACGACGAGGCGACCGACACCGCCCACCAAGCCATCCCACCTTTCACCAACGACGAACTAAAGCAAGCAGTGAGACACCTCAAAAACGGCAGGTGCAGGGACACGGCTGGCTTCACTGCAGAGCTCTTGAAAGCAGGGGGGGAGACGATCGTGCAGCACTTACTCAAGCTCTTCAACGACATTCTCGCGCCTAACCAAACACCTCCCGAGCAATGGAGGCGCACCACGATCAGTGTCATTTTCAAGTCCGGCGACCCGCATTTGCCCAGCAACTACAGGCCAATCGCCATCATACCACTGCTGTACAAATTGATGTCTCGACTGCTATGCAATCGGCTTGCGGCGCTCTTCGACTCACAACAGTCACCCGACCAAGCTGGCTTCCGCAAGGGCTTCTGCACAGAGGACCACCTTTTCACCACAACTATGCTGCACGAGAATTCATACGAGTGGCAGTTAAATTTATGGGCAGCCGCAGTCGACTTCAAAAAGGCGTTCGACTGCGTGGACCACGATTGCCTTTGGACAGCTTTGCAGGAGCAGAACGTGCTCACACCGTACATCACCCTACTACGGAAGTTCTACAGCGAGCAGGTGGCCACTGTGAAGACAGACGTCAGCAGCAGGAGCTTCAGCATAGAACGCGGTGTCAAACAAGGCGACCCACTCAGCTCTTACCTCTTCAACGCCCTGCTGGAGTACGTGTTCCGTCAGTGCAAACCAACTTGGGAAAGAAAGGGATTTGGTATACAGCTGGGGCACACAAAGCTCACGCTTCTTACTAATCTACGATTTGCTGATGATGTCTTATTGCTCGCGACAAATCTGCGCCAACTCAAGTGCATTCTGCATGACCTCAAACGCACAGCTGTGAAGTGCGGGCTTGAGTTGCACCCTGGCAAGACCAAAATCCTTACGAACGTCAGCAGGGGGCACGGGCAAACGACGAGTCATGCCGACATCGACGGCGACGCGATTGCAATCCTCAGAGCCGGAGAGACCACCAAGTATTTGGGACGGAAGCTGACCTTCCACGACTACCACCAATCTGAGCTTTCCAACCGAATTGAAATGGGATGGGGCGCGTTCAACAAGCTCCACGACGAACTGGCAAGCAGCCGATATCCTCTCCATAGCAGGCTAAGACTTTTCAATGGTACGGTGACGCCTACTGTCATGCATGGCTGCACCTCGTGGACGCTCACCAAGGACATGCTCTTAGCACTGAGGCGCACCCAGCGACGCATGTTACGTCTCATCGTGAACGCCCCCAGACGACGAGTGAACAACCAGACTACACCAAGCGACGACGGGACCAGCTCCGACACAGAGCAGCCCGACGACGGGCCACAAACAAACTCAAACGACATCCAGCGGCATTTCAACTTCGACGACGCCGACGACGACTCTGACCTCGAACCGTGGGACGAGTACATACGCAGAGCGACCCATGCAGCTATGGATCGGGCAACGCGCTCTCATTTGGAAGATTGGACGACGTTGTACCACAAGCGGAAATGGCGGCGGGCAGGACGCATAGCAACGCAGTCCCGCCAGAGATGGACTTGGCTCGCTGCAGCCTGGAACCCCGACGCCCATGACCCACGTCAAGCTTGCCGCAGACATGGTGGACAGCGAAAACGCTGGAGCGACGACATGACACGATTCATACACTACACTACTGCCGGGGATATCACAACAAATTGGGTGGAACTTGCAGCAGACACTGGATTTTGGCAGTCGCTGGAGAACGACTTCATTGCCTACTCCAACGTCTAACTACCACGGGCCCCGGCCCGCCCGCGCCGGCCCCCCGGGCCCCGCCAGCCACCGGCCGGCGGACACGCGCGCCTCGCCTCGCCTCGCCTCGTCCTGGTTGAAGATAACGTATATGTCCAATAATTTCCACGTTTTGTGATAAGTCATCGCGAACCCGTTCTAGTGCAGGTTTCCTTGCTCCTCCCCGTCGCCCTGGATGATAATAAGCATTTCACCGTTGTCGTTCTTCCATTTAAATCGGGATTTGGCGCCGTATCACTGGTGCACAAAAGATATTAACCCATGCAAAAAAGCGGTGTGTCCAGAGTTGATCGAGCATTTTGACCTTGCAATTGTGGTCGAATGCGCCGACCCCGTCAATGCTGATAACTACCTTGCCTGCG